GAGTGGGTAAATAATATGTTATTTTTATGAGTCTGAACATGAATTTTCGTACGAAACATAGCAAGAGGCTGAAATATGGCTTTAGTAGTCGACTTTTAACCAAGTCCCATATCACTGTCTCGTAGAACTAGAATTTAGTGTTGCCATCGGTGTTCGTCTTGGCCTCCTTGCACGCACGGACGCTTATCGCTCGCTCCGCCCCCACTTCGATTCCGCTGACGGACGGGCGTCCGTCGGCCTCATGTCGGCAGTCCGTCGGCCGCCACTACGGACGTACTGAACACAGCGCATAATGTCGTGCTGTTGTCACTCAGTAATCGTAATAGGTTTTCTCATTCACCGCCTCTCCTACTAGAACGAGTTTGTTATAAAACTGTTATAAAACCTTTATAGCAACCTCATGTTATACAACCATATGGTTTTTATTATACATCGTTTGTGTTACACAAACGCATTTCATAGAAGCTTTCTTGCAAACTTTCCATTCCTGCAAGCTGTCCAGTACCAGGTATTTTTTTAGCTAAGCTCGAATCTAGTCATATCCAGTACGTCTCCAGTTGATGTAGGCTGTGGAATCGCATCACCACCTGTATACAGTTTCCTTTGTACCGATAGAGTAAGAACATTGCTAATAGAGAGGCAAAGCAGTGGCCTTGGTTGGTCTGATGGATAGCACGTGACCCCGAAAGGGTAATCTTGGGTTCCAAGCCCAACTGAAACTCCGAGTTTGGTCCATATCTCAGCAGCTTTGTAGTATTTCAGATCTTACCCTGCCGTGAAAAAAGAATAGGCAGTAAATAAAAGTTAAACATTGTAACCTCACATCTGCTTAATAATCTAAGAAAGTATTGATTGTTCAAGCCGAGGTTAAATTACGGTCGATTTTCAAAAAATTATTGTAATTGAATATTTAACACTGATTTATGGTATAAACGGATTTATTGAAGTGACTACTTGACTCACTGGCAATCTGCTATGGAAAAAGCATTTTTTCCTTTATTTCACCATATTAGAGCCAAAAATAACTTTGGAAGTAAATAGTAAATAGTAAGTAAATAGTTATATAAATAGCCAGCAGGATGTGAAGAGTGCTGTCTGTCTGTTAGTCGTCGGTTTTTCACATGAAATAATAATGTAAATAATAATAAATAATAATAGATAAGTAATAATGAAATAACAATGTTACATTTTTGCCTCGATAAGCGGGTTGTGACTTTTTCTTTAAAAAAATCAATGAACTATTGTTTCAATTACTACGTGATTGTTTGGCTTCTCTGTTAGAAATCAAGGAATCTCACGGAATCGAACTTGTGTATATGGATTATTAATACGTGTAGTCCTCTCTAATATTAGCAAGTATCCTCGTTGTATCGTATTTTTTTCATTTTTCTATTTTATTATATGGCTCGACATCTTATATGTCGCACTGTGCGTATTCCAGCACGTCTTGTAGTCCATTCGTTTCCTTACATCCATCATCCACAAAAGTCTTCGAGGTTCTTTTTTTCTTGCATGTGGCTTCGGCTGCTGCTTTAGGATTTTTTCATCATCGTCAGGAATTTCGTCGAACCTGTCTGTTATCCTGAGACAGTTGTGTTAGTGCATTCCCACTTGGGTTGGAGGGAGTGAGATGGTTTCAGACAAGTCTGATACCAATTTCTCAACCCTCTAAAGATAAGAATGTTGAGGGGAGGGGTACGGGGCGGTGCCAAACCAGGTCTTCGATGAGTTGGGGCGTCCTTATAAGGTACAGTAGGTTGCCACTACGCTATCCCTCTCTGGATCATATTTTTGGTCCAATATATTGTATAATCAGACTAATAGTTGAACATTTTGTAGGATATTGTTGTCAATTTATTATTATTAGCGCTATGTTCTGTCGTTTCAATGTTTTCAGTCAACAAGAGTATTTTTGTTTAACTCATTCTACGTTTACTTTGATGGACACGTGTAGCGCATTAGTCGGAGGCGCCCTGCAGTACATGTGGGATCGATTCCTGCGCTCCACGCTCACCAAGCCTTCCATTCCTGCGAGGTCGAAAAATGGATACCAGAGTTCTCTGAGAGGGTAGCAGCACTGGCTCGATACATCAGTAGACTACCGCAAGTCAATTGTATAGGCCAGATGTGCATTCAATCACCTCCAACGATGCTTAATGAAGTCGAATGCTTGGCGCATCCATCAGGGATTGTTTAACGCTAAATGCTTTTTAACTTATTATTAACTGCCTAATCTTTTTAATGGCAGAGTATATATTGAGAATTATAACTTCAATGATGCTGAAATATTTGCAAAACTCCGGACCGCAGGTGTCTGCGATGGGGAACAAACGCGCTATTGTCCTTTCCGGGGAGTAACGCGTTCACCACCACACCATGCGGGTCCTTCGTTTCGCCTCGCTCAGCTAGTTCTATCGTTGTTTTGCTATCAGCAGTCACCCGTTATCTATATTGTTATATATCGTTATATATATCTTAGCATCATTGAAGTTATATTTCACAATGTATACCTTGCCATTAAAAAGAGTAGGCAGTAAATAATATGTTAAAATTGTGATTATAACTATAGCCTCAGCTTAACTGGGTTCGTTGCCGATTTGGGCTCCCCAGATCAATCCCTCTAACAGGTGTTTGCTGATGGCAAAAAATCGATAGAACTAGTTGAGAGACAGGCGAAATGAAAGACCCACTGGTGTAGTGGTGAACGCGTTACTCCCCGGAAAGGACAATAGCGCGTTCGTTCCCCACCGCAGACACCTGCGGCCCGGACTTTTGCAAATATCTCAGCACGATCGAGACTAAATGCTTTGTCCTTTATTTTTATTAGTGGTGATAGGTTACACTCACATTTCGTCAACAACGTAACCGGGTTTTCTACAACGATCCTCTTTGTCATTCCCTTTCCAGTAAAAGCAGTGTTTTAGACTCCTGGTAGTAGCGTAAACCAGTGTGAACCGTAGTCACTTCTACCGAATTCTGCCGAAAGATACATGTTTTGGAAAGAGAATAGTTCCATCTAAAGGTCGTAAAGAAGTCGTTCAATGTCCACTAAGATAATGATCAGTGCTTCTTGTATGAAACCAAGTTATCTTTACTCACATCGATCGAATACGATAGCAATCGAAAGTGCGTAATTGCGACCGCAGCAGTTGCTACGTGCAGGGGACGATTTGTACTCGATGGCTTTTCTCTGTTCCACTAGTATTCATCTACTTGTAACAGGTTGTTTCAGCTCTTTAGATCGTATACGTCAATGATTGTTATTCTGCACAAATGCCTTTTAATTCTCTACCGTATGCGTTCCGTTTTGCATCGTATCGTTTTCGGAATACGGTCTGATTATTTATCATATGATCTTTGGTATCATTTCAGTCTACGTCATAGTTCTGGCTGCTTCAAAATCTCGGCAGTGGTTACTCCGTAGGATGAAAGTGCTTGAAGTTTCGAATAAGGACAACCAAACTCAAAAAACAAAGACGTTCCAGGTCTGTATTCTATTACTTCATTATACTTGGATACTTGGATAGCCCACCTTCACTGGTTGTGTGCGGGCCTCAGCATAATACCTATTTTTTGGGTTTTGCTGGTTTAGTTGTTGTGGTTCCCTGGAGTCCCGTGGTCAGCTTAACCAAAGTCTGCCCCAACTCGTCACAACTACAGGCAGTCCCAAGCTTTGTGGACCAGAGGGAGATTTGCCATCGTACGACTAGTTTGATACAAGGACGGTGGTGGATCTTGGTATTGGTTTACTCGTAGTTGGGCTTCTTGATGGGAGTGCCAGACTCCTCAGCTTAGGAGACCTTGCCGGGGATATGGATCCCCCCACTGTAGATCGCAACGCGACACCCAGGAACATCTCCCTGCCACAGTGAGGCAGTAAACCGTGGCGAACATTACTCTTCATCATAGTAACAGAGAACGCTCAACAGTTTACTTTCCCTCGCCATGTTAGAACAACCTCTACCGAGGTGGTAAGGCTCATATTGATCCAGAATGGGTTTCGACCGTTTTTGGTATCGTCGCTTCAATACGGCTACTATGGACTGTGCGAAAAACGTGTCACCCAGTGCAATGTTGTCTTTATGGTAATCATGCTTAGATCACACTAATGAAAAATGGAAACAGATCATCTGGTGCGATAGTTGATCCAGACGCTCAGACGTTAGCTTCCATTCCGCCGTTTGCAATTGCACGCGGTCCGCTGTCTGGCTCTTCAAAGCTTAAAGGGATGTGCTTCAACGCGACAAAAAAAGCGGTTAGAGGAGGCGTCAAGACGTAGATGGTCAGGAGGCGGGTGCTGATCATCTTCGTAAGTTGGAGGAGTTGAAAATATTCCAACATAAGGATAACCACGTTTTTCATGGGTCTTGGACAAGTTCAACTGTTTGAAGTCGAATCGCTATCGTCATTGTACCTTGTGAACTTCGTATGTGGCCTGAACGTCGTCAAATTTTCTCGCGTGTCGATGGTTGCAAAAACCATGTACTCGTGAGTATATCCTTAGTCTGTGCTGTTATTGCGTAAATTTTTTTGTCAGAGTTCGAAACGCGTTGGTCCATGCTGCTCTCTGCGGATGCATTGGATCACTCCTCATCCATGCTATATAAATTCCTAAAACTCACGTTCAACTATTTCATCTTTAGAGTCATGTCAATTATCCTCTAAAAGACGGATGAGGGAAAGGTGAAACGAGGGACCCGAATGATGTGGTGGAGAACACAGTCCCTAGAAATGGTAATAACGTGTTCGATCCCCGCCACAGACACCTGTGGTCCGGAGTTTTGCACATATCTCTGCATAATTGTGGTTATATTTCACATCACACCCTCCCATAAAAAAGAATGGGCAGTAAATAAAAAGTGCCTATATTGTGATCTATATCCTCTAAAGTGTTTGAGAATCTTTGTCATTTCAACTGACATTAGGGGTTATGCTTTTAGTTACATTTCATTTCGTTTCTTCTATGAGTGGAGACAAGACGATGAACGTTTTACGTATAACTGTGTACCCCGAAACAGTAACGCCAACATCGAAGAACTCTATTCCAGCATTATTTGCCGGAAGGCCATCGATGCTACAGTTGCGTGCACTGTCGTGCAAATTTGGCCAGTCATAATGATCTTATTTCTAAGGTGAGGAGTAACATTATCAGTGAGTATTTACGAACAGCGTAGATGAGTGATGCATGAGTGACAACCAGCTTCTTTGTCATTTTAGACGTGTTTTATGCTTTTAAAGTTGATTTTCAGTCCTTCCAAGGCAGTCAAGGGAAAGCGTATTTGTTCAACTCAGTGTGAGTATGAATAAGAAGTTATGTTGATTTTCTTTTTCTAAATATTTTTGACTTGGTTGGCAATGTAGTGACTTTTCTCACTTTCCCATTTGTTAGAATAATGTTGTTACGAAGCCACATTCTACTGCATGACTTGAAGTCTTAGGACTTAGTGGACTTAGTATCAGTTAAGTTCATATGTGAATGCTTGCTTGGTTCGTCTTCATAAAAGACTGAGGAACCAGTACGTTATCAATCTAACTGGTATTTTTGCTAGTCATAAAGGTTGTTTTTTTTTTCGAGCAGCAGGAGTGCGATGGGTTTCCAGCTAATGTTGGCGTGCCTTTGTGGACCGGTGAAAGGTTTTCCGCTGTACATTTGAGTTTTGCGTGGCGAGGCTAGTTCCTAGGTAATGGGAGTTCAGAACATCAAACTCTGTAGCTTCGGTGACACTGCCGGAAAGCAAAACCCTGACTGCACATCGTTGATCTGATCTATTAGCTCTTTTTTCACGTAGAATGGTAGATGTTCGTGGAGAACTCTTTAATATTTTAAGTGTACTTGTATCACTACAATACAGCACGTGGTGACAAACATACAGTTAAAACGGTAAAGTATAATGTTCTCGGCGTTGATCATTCTCTAAAGGATGCGCCATGCATTCGACTTCATCAAGCATCATTGAAGGTGAATGCATATCTAGCCTTTACAATGACTCGCGGCGGCCTACCGATGTGTCGAGCCAGTGCTGCTATCCTCCCAGACAAGTCTGCTACCAATTTACGGACCCTGGAAGGATGGAGAGCTTGGTGAGCCTGGGACGCCGGGATCGATCCCATGTGTATTGCATGGCGCCTTCTACCACAGCGTCACGCGTGTGCTGTTTTATATTTCATCTCATTATGCCTATTATGAGATATGTGGTTTATCTCGCAAAGTAGTGTTGGGAATTGAAGAGTGGCCTGGTCTTTCTAAATAAATGCGCCACGTGCGTGCTTTGCTTGAAATCCATTATCAAGCTACTTTCTTTTGTTGTGTAGCAAAGATGCCCTGAGTTTGATTTTTCATGCCTTTCGTTTTTCTACTTGTCATGAACGATTCATATGAACAGGCATTTCAGTGTAAACATCGGTACGGGTCCTGCAGAAGAGCGAGTCCTACTTACCGGATTGCATGCTGTAGCCGATATCTATTGCCAGTGTTGTAAAACGACGCTTGGGTGGAAATATGTGAGTGTTTTTCAGGATTTCTTCTTAATTCATTCATTTATATATTCATCCTGTGGAAGAAATTCCCTCTAGTTTGTTTTCAAGCTTCGAAAGTTTTACAACACATAGGATCTCTTTGTCTTCGTTTACTTGTTGCTTGTATATTGTAATCAGTAAATGTTATTTCTTTATTGGATTACGTTACATGAAGCGGTTTGTTTGTTTCTACAAATCAAATTATGGTTTGCGTAGATCTATGACAACTTCATTAGGATGTCCAATCTCTTCCAACTAATATAGGCCACAAGTTCGCATGAACTTATTCACATACTATGGAAATGCTGATTTTGTAGAGACCACAAACTACTTTCTTTGCTTTTTTCTTCAAGGATAGTATTTCAAATAGAAAAGCGATTGAGTAAGCGGGATTTCACTTACGAGAACGCGATAGTCTTGTGAAACGTTGTGATGTTTCTGACTGCTGCACTCGTGTTTAATTATCGGCCTGGTGATTCTAGGTCAAATTTTTCTTCGTTAAAGGTAAGGTATTGAAAGGGTTGTATTAGTGCAATGGGACGACATCTCTTGTTCGGTTCGGTCAAATCATCAAGTACTGCAATTTTCAAGAGACTTTTGAAGAACTCGTCGCGTTTTTCACTGCAGTACTACGCCGTAATTTTACATCTCCTCCACAATTAGCCGGTTTGTTGGCAGACATATGTGTCGATATCGAAGCGAAACTGCAAACTATCGTTCTGAGTTCATTGTTCGGACAACATTTATGCTTCTTTTTTCATAATTGGCTCATGAAAAACGATGTAATGCTCATGTCTGCAATTTACTGGTCCTCTTCCGTTTGCCCATCGAGTTATCAGCTACGTACCCAGTAACGCAAAATGACTAGTCGGTGATATATCGGAGTGCTACTTTGGGTTTAGGTTATTGGAAAAATGCAGATTTCCAAAGCGTCACTAACAGTGGAATTTTGAAGATATGCTTGGCGTTGGTGCTGTATAGGAAAATTCCATATGCTTTTAGTTGTCTTAGAAGATAACTCCACATACTGGTCTTCTCTTACGGTTTGCCTTTATATAACCTGCTGTTCGGTTACTTCTGCCAATATTGTTCTCGTTGGTAGGACGTTGTTGGATTACTGAAGTATTTGTACTTCGGTAGGTAGTTTGAACAACCGAAGTTAAGGTTTAGAGATATTTGGATTTGCCAGCCTTTTGAAAGTGTATCGTCGTAGTAGATTATGACTTTCTCACTAACACTGGTAAGTTATCAGTGACGGAACCTTACACCTACCAGCGAGGTCCACATTGTCACTATTTTTCTCGGTGCATGAAATAGATATCTGGGATTGAAGATAATTTTTTGTTATTATTGCTCGAAATATTGGAACATGTATACTGTTTTCTGGTTTTAGCTAGATGTTATCGTACTTTCCAGTTATACTGATTGAATATGAAGTGCATCTGTTCTGTGTGCAATGCTGAAGGAGTTATTGATATTGTAGTGACGCATCTGGTCAGCCATCGAAATTCCAAACAAAAGTATAGTCAAAATCTTAACTATCTGACAAAATAATCTCACGGGAGAACAGTCATAAGCTGATTTTCGTTGCGCGACAATTTCTTCTGTCGTAGTTCATTCCTTTTTTGTCAAATTATTTTCGATTAATTGTACTTCATTTCAACTGTTTTTATATTTGGTACATTTCCGACGTTGCTGGTTTCTTGATGACTGGAGTACTTGAGAACCTAGAAGTTAACAGTTGTAGAGAAGAATATTTGCAGTCGTTTTCTTGTTCAGCAATCGCGAGGTTTTTAAACAGCATACATTTACTTCCATAGAGAAACACAATACAATACAACGCTAGCTGACGTTTCGGCAGTATCGCCTTCTTCAGAGCCGCTTTTTCGTGACTTCCAATGAGGAAGTTTAGAACAGCTGATTATAGTCGCATGTGGTTG